GAGAGGCTGGGAGGGGGGGGGCTGGGGGTATGTGGGAGGCCCCCGCTGCCCTCCCGGGGCCTGCCCAGGTAGAACAGGCCCACTGGTGGGGGAGGCAAGTAGATCGCTGGGCACAGGGGCCCCAGCAGAAGGCAGATCCCCCGGCACCTTCAAGCCTGTTCCGTGCTCCCTCCTCAAGGCCAAAAGGGCACCTGGGAGCAGACAGGCCCCCGGAGCCAGGGAGGCATCGCCCTGGCCCTTCGACAGGCGGGTGGTGGGAGAGGGCTCTGTCCTGTGCCCCCAGGGCCGATTGAGGCCCAGGGCAGATGTGCAGAGAGGGCTGGGCCAGCTGCGGGAAGAGGGTGTGAGGTCCCCTTCCTCTGGGGTCTCCAGACCTGCGAAGGAAGGAAAGGAGGGTGAAGCATGGGGGGCCGGTGACAGCCGCTGTGGGTCACAGGCTCAGGGATGGGAGGCAGCTGGGGGACAGTGCCAAGGCTGGGGCTGCCTGAAGAAGGCAGGTGGTCAGAAAGGCCTCCGTCCGAAGGGAACCATCCGGCCCCCCAGCCAGGAGAGCAGGGGCAGGGGTGCAGAGACGGGGGGAGGTGGACGGTACGAGAACCAAAGGATACCAGGAGGGAAATAGTGAAACAACCATGAGGAAAAGATGGAAAGAGGCAGACTTGAGAGGGGAGCGAGGTGAGACGACAAACAGGCAGGCAGAGGCAACTGAGAGGAGGAGGGGGTGCGTGTGTGACAGACACCTGGACAAGAGAAGGGGCGTCTGCGGAGAAGGCCAGGGTGGAACTGGGGCTGGGCCTGGGGACAGTCTCGGGTGAGACTTCCCCCAGCCCCCAGGTAGCACTCTCTTTCCTTTTGGGAAAGGAACAAAGAAGCCAGAGAGAAATGCACAGACCACAGACCACAGTCACCAACCACTGTTGACCAAGCACATCCCGCGAGCTGCCCCCGGCCCTGACCCTGGGCTGGGGGGCGCTTCCCTCCGCGGCCCCCTCCCCAAATAACAAACAATCGGCTCCAAAGACAACACGCTCGTTCCATGCAACTTACAGGGGCCCGGAGCAGGGGTCCGGGGATGGGGGCTTCGGCCGACAATGGACACGGGCCCTGAGCTGGGGGCCCCCAGGGTGGGGGGAGTTAAGCAGCCAGGATTGGGGGGGAAAGGGGAGAAACAGAAAATGTGGGTATTTTTCTTGGGTTGTGATTTTACAGGGGTGTGGTCCAAAGGAGATTACACAACACAAAAGTAACCAAGGCTCATGGCTCTGCGCCACAAGGTTGGGATGGTGGCAGGCAGTGGGGGCGAGGGGACTGAGCAGTAAGAGTCACCGAAGTACAACATTCCAACCTCTTCCACCTAAACCAGAGCAGCTCCCAGGCTCCCCCGGTCTGGCCTGTGTACACTCTATCCTGGGTCCACTGCTACGCAAGAAAAACCACCTCAAGTCCCGGGCAATGAGGACCTGACGTCCCCACTTCTCAGGAGAACAGAGATTCCAGGAGCCTCTAGGACCCTAAGCCAGCCCTTACTCCCCAAATCCTACTGCCCTAACTCCATTCCAACCCAAAGGAAAACCAGAAAGAGAGAAACACACAGACACATGGACACTGACCAGACAAACGAGACAGATACTGTGGACGATCTGGGGAGTGCACACGGATATATGCAGACAGGGCTCTTTCTGGGCCTACCCGGTGTGTGTGTGCGTGTGTGTGTGTGTGTGTGTGTGTAGAGAATGATTTTGATGGTTTAAAAACAGCCCCAGATTGCTGGGTCAAGTGCCCAGAGGCTGGTGAGGGCGGGTGTCCCCAAGACAGGGTGAGGCTGTCCAGTCAGGGCTTGGCGTCAGTGAGGGGTGGGGAGGGAGGCACAGACAGGAGCAGGACCCACCTGGGGCCCTCAGTAGGGCCGGTTGGCATCCTTAGGCCGCTTTAGTTGGACTTTGAGGCGCTTCATGCCGATCTGGAAACCATTCATGGCCTGGATGGCAGCCTGGGCACTGGCCGGATTGTCGAAACTCACAAAGCCTGAGGCGAGAGGGGCATAAGGCCCGGCCTGGCCCACCCCACTCTCCTGCACTTGTGGGTGGGGGCTCTTCTCTGGTTTCCACTTTCTCCAGGGCCCACCCCCAGCATAGCAAACTGCCTGGCACTCGGTGGGAATTCAGTACGAGTTCTGTTTGACGGAGTGAAGGAAGGAACCCGGGTAAGCCACTCACACCAACTAGGACATTCTTCCCAGCAGTCTTTGCAGGGAGGACCCTTCCTCAGTCTGGATAGCTCTGAACCTGCCTTTTGAAAAAGGCCACTTCTGAACCCTTAAATGGCTTCTGAACAGAGCAGACGAGAACGTCCCCTTGCTTCCTTTCAAAGACTTGAAGGCAACTACAACCCACTTCCTTTTCCTTTGGAAAACCAAACACCCCAGCCTTGAGCCTGTCTCAGGCCTCGTGGGGCGTAAAGTTGGCCAGCTCTCAAGGAGAAGTACAGCAGTGGCTTTCTGCAGGAAGGACTGGGCCTGGGCAGCGACTGGCATAGGTTTTGGTGTGTCATAGATGGTTCTTCCAGGGCCAGGGGATAGTGTGGTAGTTAAGTCACTGGACTCCCACATGGCCTACTGTAGTTCGAATCCCAGACCCAGTGGCTTGAAAATCACACGGGGCACCTGTGCATGCATGCTGAAGATCTTGGGAGGAGAATGAGGGAGAAGGGATTGCTGCATGGCCCTCTCCCCTGGGGAGTGATTTCTCAATTTCTCTCTCACTGTCTCTGTCTCTCTCCAGCAAGCACATAGTCCCTATGGCAAAAACCTCTACGGAAAAAAAAAAAAAAAAAAGATGATTCTTCCCTACTCTTGGACAATCAGAATTTCAGATATTGGACACCTGTGGCCAAGAATGCCTTCAAACGTATCAGACCTCATCCTAATTTGGAGTTCGGCCAAAAAAAATACACACACACACACACACACACACCATATTTTGTCTTTTGGATCATCATTCTCTTACCAAAACATTTACTCTGATTGGTGGCCCGGTCAACAAAAACTTTGGCTGAGATGACGTGGCCAAAGGGGACGAACATCTGGAGGATCTCCGAGTCGGTGAACTCCTGGGGCAGGTGGTAGATGAAGATGTTGCAGCCATCAGGGCCTGGGTGGAAGCAGAGACAGAGGAAGCGCTCGGTGACTGGGAGACAGGGACACAAGGGACAAAAGTCCAGGGGGGAGCAGATCCCAGGAGGAGCCCCCCAAGTCAGAGCGCCAGCCCCGCCTCCCAGTTCGCTTTCATCCACACACGTGGGGTTAGAGCTGGGCTTGGCACAGGCAATCGGGAATTCCCGAGCCCACGGGGACTCTAGGCCACGAGGACTCTGCCCCTGGCCGGCACCTTCTCGCTGCTGCTGCTGCTGCTGCTGTTGCTGCTGCTGCTGCCGA